TAAGTAGCATAGTTTTGCTTTGACCATCAAAAGACAATCACTGGTTTTACAGAAACCATTCAGCGCTCATCTTTTCAGCTGAAGTCTCAAGAATCTAATGGGCTTTAACAAATCTATCTATAACAAATCAAGGGCTTTTGGCAATCGTTTTAATAAAACCTGCACCGTGGGGTACCCAATGTCCCCAAGGTGCTCTAAGCGCCAACAAAAACACTGACTGCTTTAGCCTCTACTATGTGTATGGTGCACTGTTTTGCTTGCTGGCCACTGCTAGAGATCTTGGTGTCAATGCCTTTCACTTAAAAGTAATCTACAGTATACATCCTAGAATATTATAACTTACTGGAACCAAGAAATTATTTAGTATGAGGTGTTTAGGAAGACTTCAAATACCTATTTTGTCTTATTTAATTGACTTATGGATAAATGTGAGGCAACTATTTTAGTGGAGCATCTTTACAATGACAGCAATAATGCAACGTGCTTCAACAAAGCTCCCTCTACAGCTTTTCCAAATGGATGCACTGCATTGCTTTGCAAGCCAGGAAGAAAATATGTGGAATTTTCATGGTGATTTTGTGCATCTGTGCTTGTCTGCGCATGCCTGGCTGAGATACACAACTATTTATTTGGCCCAGTGGTCAGTAGTCCCTGTTTTGGCCAAGGAGGCTGATACCAATGCTGATTTTAAGCAACACCTTAAAACCTGACCCTCTAAAGGACGAGGCACCTCTCTGGGTGTCCCTTCTCTGCTCTCGTGTTTTGGAGAACAGTTGACCCATTCAGCACCTTCTGAGTTTTGGATCCCCCCTCCCCGAAGAGCAACCGGATGCTCCGGTAGAGGGGGAGGCAATGGGAGAAACACTCCCAGTCAAAGACTGCAGTGATCTTTGACCTCTAGCCCAACCACAGGATGGTTGTGATGTTGATAAATGCTGATAAAAAGCATGTGTCCTGCAAGCTTAGACAATGCACCTCTGATTCACACACAGCTAGAAAACCACATGCCGATGACGCGTCAGAAAAGATGGCCCCGTAAAAACACCAACAGATGTCTCCCCTCTTTTATCCCGCATTTCCTGTCTAGATCAAAGAATTATATCCAAGGTAGCTTATCAATCTGGGTGACCTAGACAGCCAAAATGAGTCTGAACTGTCAGCGCAATTGTGTGGATTAGGCCAAAGATGGAGTTCAGCTTGATGTTTATAGAGTGCACCAGGACTGGAACCCAAAACTGGCCCGGACACATGGCAAGCACCCAGCTATGAACAGTCCATGTTTGTAGTTTGTAAAGGACATGAACTGACAGAGGCAGAAACAATATGTTTTCATGGTTGTGTCAGATTAACCACATTAACTTTTCACAGTAGCAATAAAATGCAATTTCCACTTGTTTTGAAGGTCCCACAGTTGACCTACGCATGTTGACCTATGCACTTTTGTAGATTGTTGTACCAGCACACTTCCGTCAAAGTGTTCACTTCCTGTCATTTGTATGCTTCAAATCGTCCAGCAATACAGTGATGCATAAATCATTATAAAGCTTGAAATCTCAGGATTCAGTTCCTGTAATTCTACATTATATTTTACAAACCCAATTCAAACAAAGTTGGAACAATAGTTAAAATGCAAATAAAAAACAGAAAGCAGTGATTTGTAAACTGTCTTTTACAAGAATTTAATTAAAACAGCATAAGGAAGATATATTTAGTACTTTATGAAGGCCACATGGGCTCACATGGGCTCAGGAGCACGTTAGAAAACCCTTGTCAGTAAACATAGTTTGTCGTTAAGTCTCTAAGTTAAGACTCTACTACGCAAAGCAGAAGCCATATTTCCAGAACATCCAGAAACACTGCTGAGTTCTCTGGGCTAAAGCACACACACTTTCCAAGCCGCTTATCCTTCTGTCATGTGGGGGTGGGGGTGGGTGTGCTGGAGCCTATCCCAGTGGTCACTGGGCGGAAGGCAGGATACACCCTGGCACCCTGGACAGGTCACCAGTCCATCACAGGGCAGACAGACAGACATATACATTCACACACACACTCATGCCTAGGGGGCAATTTAGCGGGCAATCAGCCTAGCTGCATGTCTCCACACAGAAACTCCACACAGAAAGGACCCTCATCGCCCTTCTTGCTGTGAGGTGACAGTGCTACCCACTGCGTCACCGTGCCGCCGCTGGGCGAAAGCTCATCTGATGAAAATGTGTGCAGTGGTCAAACTGTATTTGGAAACAAAAGACGTCATGTTCTCCAGTCCAAAGAGGAATAGGACCTTTCTAAGTAGCTTAGTTTTGCTTTGACCATCAAAAGACAATCACTAGTTTTAGAGAAACCGTTCAGCGCTCATCTTCTCAGCTGAAGTCTCAAGAATCTAATGGGCTTTAACAAATCTATCTATGACAAATCAAGGGCTTTTGGCAAACCATTTTATGATCACAGCAATTACGGTCATCTCATTTGCAACATAAACACAGAATAATCTAATGCTAGCAAAACAGTGGGTCCTTATCTACAGAGTCATCATAATCCAGAACATGTGGTCTTAATAACATGGCAAGAATCAGAGCTCAGTTTAGAGAACTATGAGTCAGGCAGAAATAAACTCCTCCATTCTGGACTCTTTTACTCTGTTTCAGTAATTCATTCAATTATTCTGGCGGTCAGAAGGTTACCTTTCAAATGAGACCAAGATCATGACAGTAGTGCTCCTTTTACTCTGGGTATGCTGTTTCAAGATTGATTTTCATCTGAACCAGAAAATCATTTACAAAAACATTTCACACATTTATAAAAGTGTTTATTGTGTTTAAATGTTGTGTTGGTGACACTTTCTTTTGAGTGGTCCTTTTTAGATGAATAAATGCTCAACAGACTCTCAGTAACATCAACAACATATCAGTAATGTAGCAGCAGTGAAAACATTCAGTAGATTATCAAGAGGCTTTTAATGAAGTGCATGAAAAATAAATGTGGTTTATAATCTGCTTAATTCAGTTGTTTTTCATTTTATCTGGAGTGTCCAAGTTCAGATCTGTAAATGTTGACCTGAGAGGTAAGTGAACAGTCTAATACTGACCATCTCAACATCCTCAACAAGCTGTTATGGACACTATTCTGTAACTGGAGCTTAACTGCAAGGGTGAGGGTTAGGATTAGGTTTTGGGTTGAGGTTAAGGTTAGAATTAGGGCCAGGGTGAGGGTTAGGATTAGGTTTTGGGTTGAGGTTAGGGTTAGGATTAGGATTAGGGCCAGGGTGAGGTTTAGGCTTTTTGGTGAGGTTAGGATTAGGTTTTGGGTTGAGGTTAGGGTTAGGATTAGGTTTAGGGCCAGGGAGGGGGCTAGGGATTAGATTTTGGGTTGAGGTTAAGGTTGGGATTAGGATTAGGGCCAGGATGAGCATTAAGATCATATTTTGGTAAAGGTTAGGATTAGGGCTAGGGTGAGGGTTAGAATTAAGTTTTGGGTTAAGGCTAGGGTTAGAATTAAAATTAGAGCCAGGGTGGGGATTAAGGATTAGGCTTTGGGTTGAAGATAAGGTTAGGGTCAGGAGTAGGGTCAGGGTAAGGGTTAGGATTAGGTTTTGGGTTGAGGTTAAGGTTAGTGGATTAGGGCCAAAATGAGGATTAGGATTAGGTTTTGGGTTGAGGTTAGGGTTAGGATTAGGATTAGGACCAGGGTGAGGATTAGGGATTAGGACCAGGGTGAGGTTTGGTAAGGTTGGATTTTGCTTAATGGAAGTAACATATTAAGTCTACTTCATGTAGCATAACAATAATACATAACAATCAATAATATTCCTCACTTAATGCTGTTAATATATAAACAGAACATCCTTAAGATATTTAGCTCAGTGTATTCAGATGCTGCTTTACTGCTACTTCACTGATATGTTGTTGATTTATTAATCATCTACAAAAGAGCACTCAAACTAAAATGCTACCATTGTTTTTAGAAAAGAATATATTTTCCACTTGCCATGAAACTAATATTTAAATTATTAATAAATTAATACATTATTATTATTATTATTTTTTTTTTTTATGGCCTGGATTTTGTTATGAGAATATTTTTATTCTATATTAGCTCTCCTATGGGCATCTCCACTGCCTCTGTGCTGGGCTCTACCCTGGCATCACTGGCCTCAGGCCTCATTTCGCGAGCTGGCACGGGCAGTGCCAACCCCAACCGAGGAACTGACCTCCACTTCACAGGCCAAAACCAACCCAGCGCTGTTCCAGAGTAAACACAGAGCCGATGAAAGAGAGTGGGAGGGAGGAAAGGGGATAGAGAGAGAGAGAGGGAGTGAGAGAGGTAGAGAGAAAGTGAGGAGATACAGAAAAAATGCTTCTGCTTACTTCTTCCTTTATCTATAACGCACTGTGCTGATTTCATTAATCTGAGCATTTGTTAGGAAATTTTTGAGTGTACAAAAGCCTGTATTTGTAACAGCCCATGAGGTACCATCCATACAGAATGGCCCAATCCCATTTCACTCCTTGCCCCTATCACTTAGCCCTTACCCCTCCATTTTGCATTCACGCCTAGGGGTTGGGTTGTTTTTCTTGAGATAGAGGGGTAGGGTGAAGTGTTAGGGCTGCCCTCCAAATGGAGGTTTTTCAGAGGCACAATCCAAATGGAGTATCATGAGAAGAAAAGAAAACAGGCAAGATGGCTGCGCCAGCGACCAAAGATACTCACAAATGTGAGTATTTTCTTCGTTAAATTTACATTAACTATTGTATTTAGCTAGCTAGTCAAATTTCCCATTCCATCTTAAATGGTTATGAAGAAGAAAGTCTGAACAAGAAGTTGGCGTATATTCTTCTAATGAAGAATTAGCGGTGGGCAATAATAAATAATAGTCATATCCTCCCTCTTTGAAGACATATGATGCCTAAATGTAACTAAAGCCCAGCAGTGAGGTTGCTAAACTTTACCCTCCTCTGCTATCACAGTAGACTGGCAGTGTCGCCTACAGAGCACCGCTGGTAACCTTTGTTATTTCAGGGTCCCATTTCGTATGTCAATATTTACAGCAGCTGTGAGTTAGAAAGAAGAAGAAAGAAGTTTTAAATGTAGTACTGTGCAAAAAGAGTCAAAAAGAGACCATTCTTCATTTATGTACTTGCCAGCCAAAACAGCCATACTATCCATCCATCATCTAAACCGCTTATCCTTCTGGGTCACGGTGGGGTGCTGGAGCCTATCCCAGCTGTCATTGGGCGGAAGGCAGGATACACCCTGGACAGGTCACCAGTCCATCACAGGGCAGACATACACATTCACACACACACACTCACACCTAGGGGCAATTCAGCATGTCCAATCAGCCTGACTGCATGTCTTTGGACTGTGGGAGGAAACCGGAGTACCCAGAGGAAACCCATGCAGACACAGGGAGAACTTCACACAGAAAAGACCCTGGTCACCCAGCCGGGAATCGAACCCAGGCCATTCTTGCTGTGAGGCGACAGTGCTACCCACTGCGCCACCGTGCCGCCTACAGCCATACTAGACAAATGTAGTGTGTCCAGCCTTTGCCTTTAGTACACTTTCTCCTTTCAGGAAACTTGCTTTCAGATTGTAGTAATCACAAACACATTTAGTGATGTTGAGGTCTGGACTCTGGGATGGTCATTTCATTGTTCTGAGAACACCAGACAAATTGATCTGCAAAATTTCTTTCTTCTTGACAGCTACATATCCTTTCAGACCCATAGCGTCAAGCTGTCCATTCACAGTGGAAGGATGGACAGAAACACCTGTGGAGTGGAGCTTGATTCTTGGGCTTCTTCTCTCTCTCAAAGATGAACGCTTAAAGGACAGTTTCTCTGAAGGGAAAGTTTTGGTTTGTCTGCCGGGTCTTGCACAGCTGTTATGGGTCCCATTTTCTCTGTATCTTTAAATCATTTTTTGAACTCCAAAACTGTTTTGGAAACTTCTGTTGACTGTCCCCATCCTTACCCCAGTAGATAACTTTATAGATGGCTTTTTGGACTGGAAATTGACTAAATGAAGAGTAGACTCTGAGCATTGCACAGTACTGTAGACGTCACTGATTTTCTTAATCCACAGCTTAGTCCTGGAATGCAGGCTTAAATTGGATTTAGGCAGGCAAATGGGAAAATGTTGGCTTCACTTGTCTGATGCATGAGTGATGATTCTTATGAAATCTCAAAACAAACCTTTTCTGTTTTTAATTTGGATCATATTCTTCTATTCTACTATAAACACAAATTTGATCAGGTTCTTCCTTACCCAGCTCATGTTTGCCTGGGTTGTCGGAGATCTCCATCACGTACAGTTTGAGGCCCAAGTAGCTCTTTCCAATGCTGTAGATGCGCGTAATGTCTGGACAGGCCTCCTGCACGGATTTCATCAGCTGGCAAAGAGAGAGGCAATAAAAGTGAGAGATCTCTGAGGAGAGTTAAGTCATTATTGCAAAGGTGACCATTCCTGTTCTTGGAAATCTAGCCAAAAAGTTTAGCTCCATCTTCTCCCCTGGAGATCTACTATACTTTACTTTCATGGGCATAGAGTTTCTATCTATATTCTGAGGACCTTGAAGTCTTGAGATCTTGAGCAGTAGGGGAGAACAGATCCTGAAATTTGATTATTGATTTTTATTCCATCTTTTTTATGACCAAATCGGTGGATATTTTCTTAACGCAACAGGCTGCAAAGACCATAACATTGCTTATTTGCTTTTTAAATTGGTCAGAATGAAGGCCCTATGTATCAAAGTGAGACAGAGCTGGATTTTGCAGTGTGTCTATAAGCCTTTTTCAAGTTGGCCTGTGTGGGGTGAGGTTTGCCACACTCACCAGAAAACAAATATTACTCTGGGCTCCTCTGTAAACAACCACAAGCCAGCGGGCCACAGGGACTGACCCTACCGCAGTTATATTAACACACGTTCATGGATAAACAGAGCACCTCACACACGTGTATATGCTCCAAATTCCTTCCATGTGTACCTTACAGAAAATTATGTTATGGAAGGACATACAGATTTGTCAAAACTTAGGTCTTGGAGTTCAAGACAGCATAATTAGCCGTGCTCTCTCTGGGTAGAGGCCCTCCCCATTTCACAACACGATGTCAGCCAACACAGGTTTCTGTTAGCTAATGTAACAGAACTGGTAGTTAGTGTTCTCCTGCAAGCGTGTTGAGTTGTCCAATGTTGTTGTGTTAGCAGCAGTTTGGAAAAGATGCTCATAATGTATCTTGTAGGAAGGTCATTCTAGCCTTATAAACAGCAAGTTGGGAAAAAGTTAAAGTAAATTTTTGGTTCAATAATATTATCTATTAAAGGTGAAATTACAAAAATAAAATACTCTATGGCCATCTAAATCTGAATGCAAGAGCCTGTTATTATACTATAACGATGGAAAAAACGTATTTAAAACAAACACAATGCACATTGATTTGGCTAAATTTCTCCAGCAAGTTGCTTTAGAGTTCGTGATTAAAACAAGAAACCCTACCATAAACCTTATAATGATCTGTTAAATGCACAGGTTTGAAGTAACAACTTTTGAAACAAGAGGTAAAACAGTTTATTACCGAAAGCTATTGACTTACTCAGCATTATTTATATGATCTCCATTCCAAAAATTTCATTAATTTAGTTAAAGCTAGAAAGCATGTAATCTAAAGACCACATAGAATACAATTTCTCTGTATGTCTGAGTGTTTCACTGTTGATCCACTGCTGTTTAAAGTGTTTGCATGCATCTCTGTTGACTAGTGCAGTAGACTGAAAGGAACAAACAGCATTTTTCATCACTATTTCTCATTTTCACTATTTGCCAAATATTAGATTTGGACACAAAGTGATTGTTCTTTGGAATCACTCCATAGAACCCTTTTTAAAAGTCTTAAATTTACACAAAAGTATTGATTGAAGCAAACATTTAGAACCAGCAACAAGACTCCTGAATTAAGAGTGTGTCAGCCTACATAACAGCTTGCATTAATGCAACTTAATTCAACAAACACATGATGATATGCTGACTGTTTGGAAATAACAAATAACATACCTTCCTCATTTCCTTGTAGTTGTGATGTCTGAAGTCTAGTTTATCCTGAGAGCCTTCCTGCTGTGCCTGCCAGGGGTAGATATTGTTCGGGTCTAAAGAGAGTTGCAAAGGTTAGAAATGCCATTTAGACCGCATGGATAATGCAAAATGCTTTATCCATGCAAAAAGTTGTAAATAAACAGTCAAGTTCATAAATATTTGGATTTCAACAAAGTGATTGTTATTTTAGTCTGCCACAGCATGCTGACGTTGAAATTAAATAATGACTATGAGCTCTGATTGCAGACTTTTAGCTTTAATTTACATCCAAATCAGTCATGTTGGAATAACAACCGTTCAAACACAGGCCCCCTTTATTTTTAAGGGTTCAAAGGGATGGAACCACTCATGTTCCAAATCATATCATCTGTCAAGCATGGTGGAGGTAGTGCTATGGTGTGGACATGTATGGCTGCCAATAGATCTGGTTCTCTTCTCAACTACTGACAAAAGCAGTAGGATGAATTCTAAAGTTTGTAGGGCTATATTTTCTGCTCAGGTTCAGCCAAATGCTTCAAAACTCATTGGATGGCACTTCACAGTGCAGACTGACAATGACCCAAAGCATGCTGTGAAAGCAACCCAAGGCTTTTTAAGGTAAAGGAGTGGAATTCTCTGCAATAGCCAAGTCAATCACTTGGGAAGAAAACCAGCATCTGGTGATGTCTGTGGGTTTCAGACTTCAGGCAATCGTTATTATTGATTCACAACTGAGTATTAAAAATGACTATTTTAATTATTGTCATGTTAGTTCATACAGTTACTTTTGAACCCCTAAAAATAGGGGGCCTGTGTGTGAAAACGGTTGTCATTTCTTCACCGTTCCCATGATTTGGATGTAAATACCCTAAAATAGAAATACTGTCCTTATTTAATTTCATCTCCAATATGCTATGGTAGACAGCTAAAATAACAATTATGTAGACATCCAAACATTTATGGAGCTGACTATATACACCAGGGATGACCAAAGTACAAATGTTTGTGGTGGGGAAAGGGCCAAAAAGACAAAATGATGTACAAATAAACAAAGTATGTTTAAAAATGTACTTTTTAATATTAAGGAGCACCATCCAAAAGATTTTGAAGCATTTGGCTGAATCTGGGCATAAAAATATAGCCCTACAAACCTTAGAATTCATCATGTTGTTTTTGTCACTAGATGTATCAATAATAAATACAAGGCAACCAGAACTATTGGCATGTCCACACCATAGAACTACCTCCACCATGCTTGACGGATGAGATGATGTGATTTAGATCATGAATAGTTCCTTCTCTTCTCCATACCCTTCTCTTCCCTTCATTCTGGTACAAGGTGATCTTTGTCTCACCTTTGCACCTGACTGTATACACCAGGGAAGCCCAAAGTACAAATGTTTGCGAAAGGCCAAAAAGACAAAACAATGTACAAATAAAGAAAGTATGTTTCAAATTGAGTTTTTAAAAATGTACTTTTTAGTATTACTCTAGATTTAGATTCAATTCTGTAAAAATACAGAGGGTAATAAGGGCAGCACTGAAATATACACTTAAATTTTTAGACAACCTAACACAACAAAAGTGTTAAACAAACCCAAACTATCTTTTATTTTAGTTTTAAGAATAAAATAAGGTTAATTTTAGCACAAAAACTTTTCGTGTAACCATTTATAAAATTAGGGCATTGAAGAGGAATTTTTTGTTGTATTGTATTTTGATTGCAATGACATATATATATATATATATTTTATTTATTTATTTTTTTTAACTATTTGCTTTGGTGCAAAGCCATTGAAGTGCAAAACTAGGGCAAAAATTATTTGATTTTTTTGCTAAAATATTCCATTAAGCCATATTTACTACAACTGTCTTATTCATGGTGGAGATATTAATGCAGTAGAACTTTGGCTTGTTAGATGCCATACAGTACCTGGTATTGCACAGCCCAGCACCTCTGCTCGGAGGCAGATGGTTCCATTCTTGAACCAGGTCTGAGGGTTGATCCGAATGTAGCGCGCCACTGTGGACTCAGGGAAGACCGCCAGCACCGGGGTGTCAGTGTCCTGGTTCCCCTCAAACACCTGTTAGCACCAAAGATCACGTTCAGCGGACCCCTCCAGCTCAACTAGCCCAAATGGCTTTTGGCTCAAGGGCAGTTGGCATGGGTTTTGCGTGTGCCAGCGTATGCCGGGCAGGCACGATGAAAGCTGGCATTGAGTATGCAGCAGCGGGCAGGCTATTCTTTCCAAAAGAGCCACTTAACCCTGCCAACTGCTGCCAACAGCTGCCTCCAGCTTCTAATAGAGCTGCGAGTGTGCTGCCAGGGGGTCCCGGGCCCGCCAAATGATGGGGATGATACAGCGCCATGGGGATGCCAGAGCTGATGTCCAACATCAGCAGCGTCCAGTCAAACCCACTGTGCCGGCCAGGGCCCTGACTTTAGCCTCATGCTGGGGAAACTAATTTGGCTGTTCTAAATGGAATATTGTGATATACTTTCTAAAATTAAAGGAAAAATGATAGACACAGCAGATAGAAATAATGTTGATAAACTCTAGTGATGAAGATAATTACGTGACACTGGAGAGAACTTTAGAAGGGATGTGTAGAACATTTATTGGTTAATGCAGAAGTTTTCAAAAATCTGTAAACACTCTTTATTGCTGTTCTTCTCCGAATATGCGCTGACTGGGTTAGTTACTAGTTGCATTAACTTATATTATAATCAATATCTGAATAGTATACAAATAAAGCAGTGTTTGTCATTTATAAGTAGTAACTGAATCTTACCGCCTCCTGAGTTCCGTTCATGCAGGGCTTCCAGCTAATGGAGTCATTGCTGAACTGCACTTTGAAGGTTTCTACCCAGTTCCAGCTACAGTGGAAACATAAGATTAGGAGTTTGTCTGTGGATTTCTTCATTTGGCTGAATTTGACGAACAAGATTTTGCAATAAGGATGTCTAATAATCTATTTACTGTATTTACAAAAGGTAAAGGTTTTAAAAAAAAGTGTTTGCTGCTATGGCAAATAAACACATTTATTAATAAACACATTTTTATTGTACTTTACCTCCAAATGGAATTACGGCCCTGTGTGATGACCCCTGTAAAGCGAGTGGGCATCAAGGCGTCTACCTGCAGCCACTGGTCTTTATCCTCATGCCGTGCACACCAGCCTCCATCATAGATGTCCCCATCCGCAATACCAGACTACACACACACACACACACACACACACACACACACACATACACACACACACCGACAGCAATCAGATAGCTTAAAGAAAATGTTCTCATAGATTCAAACATTCTTGCAAAAATATGAATCTGATGATGGCTGTCAGTGTCACTACAAGGTAAGTGAACAGGTGCTATCATTAGGAATTTTTTTTTTGCTTGTATGATTTATACTTTCTCTGGCTGCAGTCAGGTTTGAAAGCAAGTTTTTATATTGTGGGTCACACTGGACTGCACAGCATGTTCGCAAGCTATATATGGAATCAACATTTCATGCCTTATTAAAGCTCTTTTCTTGATAAGCACTTTTAAGTTGAAAAGGATGACAGCAATATAAGTCTTGCTTCTATGGTGCCTGAATAGAACAGTGGCAATGTAAACCTTGATTGTGTGTTGCCTGAACAGGACTTTAACAGTGTAAGCATTGCCTGTATGTTGCCTGAATGGGGTGCTTGCAGTGTAAGCCTTGCCTGTTTGTTGCCAGAATATAATAGTAGCAATGGAAGCCTTGCCTGTATGTTGCCTGAATTGGACTTTAACAGTGTAAGCATTGCCTGTATGTTGCCTGAATGGGGTGCTTGCGGTGTAAGCCTTGCCTGTATGTTGCGAAAGAGGACATTGACAGTGTAAGCCTTGCCTGTGTGTTGCCAGAATATTACAGTAGCAATGTAAGCCTTGCCTGTATGTTGCCTGAATGGAACAGAAACAGTGTAAGTCTTGCCTGAATGTTACATGCAATGGGCTGGACAGCGTAAGCCTTGCCTGAATTGAACGTTACCCATAAGCCTTGCCTATGTACTGCCTGAATTGGTAGCAGTGTAAGCCTTAACTGTATGTTGCCTGAAAATGACATTAGCAGTGTAACCCTTGCATGTATACTGTGTGTAATTATCTTGACAGTGTAAGCCTTGCCTGTATGTCACCTGACTGGAACAGTTGCAGTCTCAGCCTTGCCTGTATGTTGCTGAATAGAAAAGTAGCAATGTAAACCTAGCCTGTATGTTGCCTGAATAGGATATTAGTGGTGCAAGCCTTGCCTCTATGTTGTTTGAGTGGGATGTAAGCAACAAGTCTTGCCTGTATGTTGAGCCGGCCACGATGGGGTCCCAGGCCACGGCGCTTGTGGGACGAAGCCTGCAGCTGGGTGTCTTTCACCCGCAAAGACTCTAGACCCATCGGGGGACACTCTGAAGCAGGGTTACACACAGGACATGATACAGTCTTTAATGTACACACCAGCACAAAGTGAATGAGAGATTTGATGGGGAGGGAGAGTGAGAGAGAGAGAGACAGAGAGAGAGAGAGAGAAAGAGAGAGAGAGAGAGAGAGAGAGAGAGAGAGAGAAATATAGTTCAGTCAGGACCATTTTGTCAAAGAACACTTTCTATGAATGTCACATTTGTAAGCATCTATAAACACATTTATAACATGTTATAATGTATTCATAAGGCATTATAAACATGGTAATAAATATTTATAAAAAAGAATTACACTGAATTACACTTTATAGCCATGTTTATTATACATTATGAATTGTTAATATAATGCATTATAAATTGTGTTAATAACGTTATAATGTCAGTGTCAAAGAAGTCAGTCCCAGCTTGGAGACTGTAAAGTAAAGACAAATACCAAGCTAACGGTGGTGTACATTGACCTTCCCACATTGGGTAAAACACTGATGGCAGCACTAGTTTAAACTCTGACATTTGAAGCCTGTAATGTGCTTTATTGTGAATGTTTTAGTGTTTCAGTAAATCCTTCAGTAAATACTTCAACTTGAAGCCTCACTCTGAACACTGGAGGAGGCTTTAGTACAGTACGCTTCACTTTACTTAGAGCGGACAAATACAACTTATGAGCTCTTATAATTTATTATGATCAGTACTTATAATGTATAATGTTAACAATTCATAATGTATAATAAACATGGCTATAACGTATAATGTCTTATGAATGCATTATGACATGTGTTTATAGATGCTTACAAAGGTGACATTCATAGAAAGTGTTACCGAAAATATTTTGTTTCATTAGCAGTGAGTTGTATTTGGTGGTACTGCTCTTCCTCCTTGCACTTCCATGTGCATACATGGAACACCTAAGGCAGGTAGAGCAGCAGAAGACAGCCCCCCAGACCCCAGACACAAGATGAAGGAGGGGTTGGGGTGGAGGCAGGTTGCAAAGTGGCTTGCAGAGGAACGGCGAGATTGGGCAGGTTAAAGCAGCTTAAATAAACACCCTGATGAATTTAGCCAAAGCATAGCAAATAATCAGCTGAGCCATCAGCTGATTAAGATCAGCTGATAACACCTGGTGATGTGAGACTGAGGCCTGAGCTTGACTTCGTGGCCTGCCTGAACTAGTGCTATGCTCTATAAGCCTTGCAGGGTATTAAAGATGTCGTTCGGCAAAACATCAAATGCACACAATTTTCCTCCCACCCCAAATGTTGTAGATCAGCCAAGACATATTTGGTGTCTAAAGTTTGCTTCTTTAGTTTTGTGCTGGAGACATGATGCTAATGGTGCTAACTAAAAATACAAAGCTTACATTCAAATCTGCATCTTTGAAAGATAGTTTGCCACATTGAAAGAGAGGAAACTGGCATCGACTCACAACAGCAGAACCTCACAAATGCACATGTTTTCAGTTTCATTTTGGGAATGTATAAAACAAAAGACCTGAAACATCTTAATCATCACACTCCAAGTTTTTAAGTAATCTAAGACAGTTAGAGGTCAGTTAGAAAGGTAGTTTGCTCTTTAAAAAAAGACGCTAACTGTACAAGGTGGTAAAAATATCTTGCATGAGGTGAGTTTCTATGGTTGCTGACAGTGCACAACCCAACATGTCTTGGCTACATTAGGGCTTTGAGAAAAATTGTATTAATTTGATTTTTTGATGAACTATCCAGAACCAGAGAAGAGCTGCTCCAGGCTCTGTAATGAAAGTGTGGACTCTGCTGTGGTCAGTCCAAGCCAGCGTTAGTGGAGTGGGAATGCAGCAAACTGACCGACACCCTTTTAGATACCTAACCACATATTTCCAGGCACAGTGCTTTGGCTTGGTGTATTAGGGAAGTTTCCACCAGGAATAAAAGTCAATCATCTGAACCACCAACAAAAAAGATGGATGCTGTGTAGGAGACTGTAAAAAGATGGAGGAGGTGAAAGATAAAAGGTAACCCCTCCAAAAGCAGTGCAAAAGAAATTCCAGCCCAAAATCTGAGGCAAGTGTGTTGCAGGCAACAAAGATGCTAATGCCTCTATACCAAAAGCAGCAGAATCTTTCCTCAGCCTAGCAGAATGATAGACAGAAGTGCCTCTATTACAATATGATATGTTATTGTTTTCTCGTTATCGTGATAAATTATGTCACTACACAATTTTCTGGATAAATCATGGATATCATCAGCACTTCTAGAATGCTGGCCAACTGCATGGGTCATTAAAAACAAAGATTTAGACCAATCATGAAGAGCCTGTAAACAGCAACAACAATATACAAAATCAGAATGTTTCTCAATATATTCATTGACTATACTTCTGGGTGGATAACTTGCGTCCAGTTAGCATGGAAACAGCTCAATTATGACTCAATTTACAATAAATACAATCAACAGACAATACTGATAAAACATTTTTCAAGCTTTCAAAAGTAGGTAGAGCTGCTGTGAGTAGTATTGATCCTAGATAGGGATCCTCTGTTGTTGGCCCACTTGCAGCTTCCCACCAAGAACTGTTACACGACCAATAAGAGCACGAGAATGTAAACCATGATGGTATATTGATGTATGATGATGATTGCTATTTTTGGATTGATTACTTTGTAGAGAGTTAAACATAGGGTAACAAAAAGCTGGCAAAGAAGCTAACACTATTAGCATTTATGCTAGCAGAGACAAAGCAAATGTTTTTGCTCATCTTTTGACACCAGAAGAAAAATTTTACACATGATTCTAGGCAAATGTAGACATTTTTGTAAGTATATTGTTTTATATACACTTACTAGCAAACATAGTATCTAATTAGCCAAATTAGATGGTTTAGACCAGAGGTGTCAAACTCAACCACTTAAAGGGCCATATTGAAACAATCTCAGCAAATCCATCAGCCAACTGTGTTTTTATTGCTGTGTTTATAGCAACAGCAAAATAGGATACTTATTCAAAAATAATTCTAAATAAAATTGTTTTGTTGTTGGGGGAACTGGGTCAGAAAGCACTGTATATTGCAGTGCATCCTGGGGACTGTAGTGTATCTTGGGGTAAAACAGGCTAATAATATTATTTTGCTGAATAGCACTGTGTCACAGGCCTGACTTGGCCCGCGGGCCTTGAATGTAACACATTAAATGTGGTTGTTTTAACAGTTCTAGCTGTCTCTTGATTAGGTGGAAAATGAACTAGAACTAGAACCGTAAATTCCATTGGTTTATCTTTGGGTCAATTCTTGTTTTTGAATGTGCATCAGAAAAAACACCTTTATAAAATGAATGCTTCTTCATTAAACACTGCAATGAAATGTGTGGCTGGTGTATGTTTAAAATTCTTTTTTCCAGTATCTTAATTAAATAGGTCTCAGCATTGCTATAAAATCCAAATCAGTACAACGCTACCTGCATTATCCACTCAGGATGCCACTGTTGTGACGTAATGCTGACATGTCCTGTTATATGACAACTACATAAGCTGCACAGAAACATACACACATATATATGCATATTAAAATATGCAGTCCTGGTCCTGGAGATCTACTATCCTGGGAAATTCAGATCCAACACAACTGGCTGTAATATTCAGATGATCCTGGAGGCCTCCAGGTGGTGCCTCCATTACATGGATAAACTCTGCAGGGTGGTAGATCTCCAGGACCAACATTGCCCCCTGAACAGCTGAGTGCCTGTCAGCCCATTATGACATAATTTACTTTCATTTACTTTCTTTATTGTTTGATTTGTGTTCATGCAAACTTTAATCAAAAACATCTCATAGCACAAAGTCTTTCTGGTGCATTTTCTTTGTTCCAACCTGTTTGCAAACCTCAGAAGAACTGAATATCATAAACGTGAACGTGGTTTTTAGAAAGAATTCAAACAAACCAAACCCAGTCTGCAGGTTTATACTGTCTGCGCATCTGCAGGACAGACAGGCGGCTATTGTTTGAGTTCAGCTCGGTCCATCTCCTATGCAAACACGTTCTCTCCCTCTCTGCATTCTCCAGGCTATAAAAGCGTAACACCCTCTCGCTTGTGAAGCCCACTGGACCTGTAGTTCAGTATCATCTGTCCTCGGTGAACTGCTCTTGCTATCCTAGTCATTTCCTTCCAATTAAACAAGCTGTTTAGAGCTCTCACAGTCTGCCAAGGCATTTGGCCTAATAAAAATAAACAGTACTTTGTGGCAAATTTAGTGTTGTAGTTGTACGAAGAAAAAATAAAAGTGCTAAAGTGACATCTTGGCAGGTGAAAGCATGTTAAATATAAGCAATATGTCAAATATTTCTCATTATGAGATTTTTGTTTGAGATTTTGAGATTACCCAAATCTACTTATAGTTATTGATGGACATTTTTTATTTATTGGAAGTAATTTTATTATGTAAAATTGTTATTGCACTGGCACATTTTACTCCTCTTAAGCTTTTTTTCTTGAAGTGAGCAAAAAGAGAAGAGAATTTTACAACATAGTTACTTCAAATAAGTAAATGTCTAGAAATAGCCATCTAGGGTCCAATGAAATCTGTTGTTTCCTCCAGATTTAATTTTGTTTTGGCCAATTTTAGTTTTTTTGTCTGATTTTTAAATTAAGATTTTTTTATTGATACTTTTTAAAAGTATTCTTTTTTATTTTGACTCTTTTTTACTCTATCAAAGTAGAGATATTTGCACTTAGAATTTTTCTTATTGATACAATATCCAGTAACAGCAAGAAATTCTGAATCAGCCACGTATAGCCACCAATTCCAAGCATGCTAGATGGATAAAGCTCCCCAGCATTGGGCTGTGGAGCAGTGGAATTGCATTCTTTGGAGGGAAGGAGCTCCATCCAATACCTCTGGGTTCTGTAATTCAGAACTAATGATCCATCATCAGTACCTGATCTCACTTATGCTCTTGTGGCTAAATGCAATCAGTCCTGCAGGCTGTAATCTAAATCTAGTAACACTTTATTGTAGGGCAGTGTT